TAAGTCCCCCCTATTATTATGTTATCCTTGTTTTACTCTTTAAAATAAAAAAAAAGAATAGAGAAAAATGACAATTTACAAAATATGATAATTTAAGATTAGATCCTGGAATAAAAAGAGGACATTAATGGAAAAACTGTGAAATCCAAATAAGGGGTGAAGTTTAGTTAATAAGTAACATACTTTGTAAGTTTTTTGGTTTTGACAAATGCACTATATGGTACTGTAAAACATTAAAAAGGGGGAAACTGGGTGAGGAATATACAAAACTTCTCTATTCTATCCTTTGCTCTTTTTCTATAAATTCAAATTAATTGAAAAACAAGTTTATTTTTACAAAAGGTGACCACACAAGAATGAGTACATTTTTAAAGATCTTTTTAAAATACCATGAATGATAAAACTGTAGGAACACTAGAATTTTCATTATTCAGAAGAGTTTGAGAAGTTTAGAAGTTTAACTGACTCAGCAGGAGGCCAAGGTCCTCACTTTGTAAACATCTTTATCCTGCACAAACGGAAGGCATGGAGATAGTGTGAGTGCTACCCCTACCCTTGGGGGCAGGGAGGTTTGCTCTCCCCTTTTTTGCTCTTGTTGCTTTTGCTGTCTTCTTCCACCATGAACTGTTACTCCTCTGACACACCACCTTGCCTTGGAGCCAACTGATATGGACTGAAACCTGCATAAACTGAGCAAATTAAACCTTTCCTTCCTTAATTTTGTCTCAGCAAGAATTTGATACTAGAAAAGTAGGGTTACTGCTGTGACTATACCTGACAATATGGTTCAAGAGGCTTTGAGAATGGCTTGTGGTAAGAGTTTAGAAAGGTTTGCAGACATTGCCTGAAAGAGCTAGTGCTAGAATGCCTTAGACTGTTCTGTATGGGAGATTCTAGTCACAGCTCAGAAGATCAGAAAACTGGTAAAGACCAGGCTCAGGAGGTTTCTGCTAGGAAGAAGTACTGCACTGGTTGTTGGACTCCAGATGACATGTGTTATACCTTGGCAGAAAGTTTGCCTGCATTTTGCTTATGTCCAGAGACTTTGCCTGAGACTGAGATTAAGAGTGGTAGACTAATTAATCTGACAGAAGAAATTTCAAGGCAATCTAATGTTTTAATCTAAAATTTCTAGGTGGTAGAATGGCTATTGTTAGGGGCTTTTAGCCAGATTTATGTTGGCAATCAAGAGCAGAGAGCCAGCAGAATGTTTTAAGATATTGTGAGTTCGGCCAGAAAGGAAGTTCCATTAAAGCTGGACTACAAAGACAGACCTGAGGAGATCTCGATTGCTGACGAGGAATAGGAAATATGAAAGATGGCATGAGGGCATTACAAGAACCAGCAACTCTCCACCCTTTGAAGCTTAAAAAATGCAAAAGTGAAAGACTTTGCTTGAGAAGAAAGCAGCACAGCATCCTGTTCCAGAATGGCAGTAGCACGGAAAATTTGTTCCTCAGAACTGGATTCAGGCTGCCCAGAAATTCAGGCTCTCAACCCCTACAGCCAAGAGAGAGGAAAGCCTGGCTACTGTTCCACCTGACAACAGACCCTGGCATTATCCACACGGTACTGGTTTTACGTGTATGCAGAATGCAAGAGTTGTGGGGTTAAGAAGGCTTCAAACCTTGATTTCAGAAGGCCTGGGAGGCCAGGCAGTATGCCCCTAAGAGGGCAGTGTATGAAGCTGTGAGGGTAAAGCCAAAGGTACAGTGATGACCCCCAGAAGTTTGGAAAAGCCAGGAACATGGATCATCTGAGGAAATCTACAAGGAGCAAAGTGGGCCCAAAAGAGAAGCCATGGGAGCTTACTACCACCAAAAGTACCATAAGGGTGGAGCCATCTAAGCCCTTTAGAGCTCCAACTTGTCACACATTACCTTAGATGCTGCATATGGAACTGTAGGACTTAATGTTTGCCATGCTGAATTTGGACTTGCTTTGGTCCCAATCCTTTGTATTGCCATTTGCAACTTTTGGAATGAAAATGTTTATCTTGTGCCAGTGAATGCTGGAAGTGTTTAACTTTTTTCACTTGTAGAGGAGCTTGCAGCTAAGAGTTTGCCTTACATCTCAGAGGAGACTTGGAACTTGGACATTTCAGCAATGCTGAGGCTGTTAGGACTTTGGCAACTCATAGAGAAAGACTAAATACTTTTTGCATAAAGGGATGTATATGAGTCTTCAGGAAGCCAGGGAAGAATGTTATGGTTCTAATGTAATATAATGTTGACAGACTTAATACTGGTTCTTAACCATTGTTAAACTTATGTTATAATGTTCAAATTGTGAAATGGTAAGAATAAGCATGTATTTTTATCTGAAAACTGGTTTAAAGAAATGTGTCTGCTTGCCAAGTTGACAAGGAGTGGATTGTAATGGTTGCTATATTATGTCAATTGGAAAAGTTTTAAAAAGTAACTAAGAGAGCCTGGAAACTACCCAAATGTTTCTTTTTTTTTTTTTTTTTTTAATCTTTTTGAGATAGAGTCTCACTATGCAGTTCAGGCTGGCCTTATGTTCACTTTGTAGCGTAGGCTGGTCTCGAACTTGCAGTGATCCTCCTGCCTCAGCCCTCCGAGTGCTGGGATTACCGGAGTGTGCCACCACACCCAGATTAAAAAAACAGTATCCGGTACCGGAGAAAAACCAAAAAAAAAAAAAAACAACAAAAAAACAAAAATAAAAAAACAGTATCAAAATAACAACAACATAGACAAAAACAAAACAATACTACTGATAAATAAACTGTGATAATCACACAATGGAGTACTACATGGAAGTAAAAATAAAGAATACAAGTTCAAGCAAAAATAATAGATGAGTCCCATAAACAATACTAAGTTAAAGAAGACCACATAAAAATACATATTATATGATTCCACTGTAGAAAATGCAAAAACAGGTATATCTCATACTAGAAGTCGAGAAAATAATTAGCCTTGAACAAGGGACGAGTGACTGGAAGGGGGAATAAGCAGCTCTTTTAGTGCTAGTAATATTCTGTGTTTTATTTTTTTTTTTGGTTTTTCTCCGGTACCGGGAACCGAACTCACGACCTTGCGCTTGCAAGGCAGGCGCTTTGCCGCTGAGCTAAATCCCCAGCCCAATATTCTGTGTTTTAATCTGGACATGGTTTATAAGGTTATGATTGGTTTAATTCATTTTGAATATTTAAGATCTGTGTCATTACACTAAAAATATTTGAACTAGCCAGGCATGATGGCACACACCTGTAAGCCCAGCACTTGGGAGGCTGAGGCAGGAGGATCACCTTGAGTTTGAGACCAACCTGAGCTACAAAGTGAGCTGAACTACATAGCAAGACCCTACCTCAAAAAGACAAAAAAAGAGAAATATTTCAACTAAATTTTTGAGAGGTTTTTCTTAAAAAGAGATCACTGCATACTGTGAACATTATGGGAGTAAATATAACTGAATAATTGTAAACAAAGGCTTTTTTAAACTGCATATTTTACTAATTTTCATTATTTTCACAAGATGGATAATATTGTACATGTAAATCAGGATGTGACTGGAACTCTTTAGAATATAAAGCTGGAGAACAGTACAAGTAACTCATATTCTAAAGAAAGCAAACTATGATTGAGGTCTGCTCCTTCTGTATATCTTATTTAAAAATGGGAGAATAGGCCTAGTAGTCAACATACACCCATCTTCTTCCCAATTATTTTAAGGAAACTGAGAGAGAAAGGAATAAAATTTTAGCTTAGAGAAGTAGACATAGGTTGAAATATACCTCCCCTCAACTCTCAAAAGAAGGGAGGCAAAAATGCCAAGATTTTTATAAAGATTAAGGGGTACCTTCAAGGAGAGACTGACATCTCAGTAGGATAGAAACTTAGGCAGCAAATTTCTTTTTCTGTTCACTGAGTAGAGGCAAAGGAAATTAGAAATGAATGACAGAGAGGAAAGAAGAGTCAGAGGGAGAAAATTCTGCACTGTCACTTAGCATGCCCAAGAACTCCCTTATGGATTAAGTAAACATGTGGAAGATAGCTAAAACCTTGCTAGTGGCCCCTGCTCCAAGATGATTGATAAATAAAGGGCTCTAGCAGCAAGCTGATATGAGATAAAGAGCAAAAGGAAATAATTGGAGTGATACTGTAAAACATCAAGTGAGAACCAGACTTCCCACATCAGAGATTTAGACATTGGAAAATGACCAGCAAGTTATGGAACTTGTCCAATATGCCACTATAGACTTAATGGCACAGTAAAATGCAACTATTGCATGCTCACATAACATAAAAACTGAAATCTCAAGAAACTAGTTTATATGTGTGCTTTTTTGTCTTTTTGAGATAGGGTCTCAGGCTGGCTTTGAGTTCACTTTGTAGCCCAGGCTGGTCTTGAACTCACAATGATCCTCTTGCCTCAGCCTACCAAGTGCTGGTATTACAGGTGTGTACCACCGCACCCAGCTTATATGTATGTTTAATACTAGATATGCAGTATGTGATATCAAAGCCTTACTTTTTAATTAATAAAAAGTATTACTACTATTTGGAAATGTTAACCAACCTTTGGAACCGGCGTAGATAAAGTGCTTTTGGAAGATGTCCATATATAGTCTCTTTTATCTTTGGATTTACCATAATCAGTTGATAAGAAATTTCGAGATACATTTTGTGAAGGAGTTGCTTTAGAATCAAATTTCCTGTAACTAGTTTCAGGTGCTTCCCATGAAGACGTCTGTATTTTCTGCATTAAACAAAAATGAGTAAAATCACCATTAAAATTAAAGGTTGTTTTAATTATTTATTTCTTTAATTAAACTGTAGCAAGTAGTAAAATGCGGAAATAAACTAGAATTTATCCCCAAATTTATTATTGATTAAACTTTGTACTGACTATTATTTTAAGGAATACTTGCCCATTTAAAATGAATATGGTTGGGGCTGGGGATTTAGCTCAGCGGCAAAAGCGCCTGCCTGGCAAGCGCAAGGTCGTGAGTTCGGTTCCCGGTACCGGAGAAAAACCAAAAAAAAATAAATAAATAAAAAAAATAAAAATAAAATAAAATAAAATAAAATGAATATAGTTAACTGTGAGCTGCTAGAAAAACAAACACCCAAAGTCTATTAACCAAATTTAAAGATAAAAGTGTGTGGCAAAAAGCTTTAATCTGTGGTTCTAATAGTCTAAAAGCCAGAGGGCAATTTATTCTCATTTTCATTCATGCTTTTTCAAATATTCATACTTCTCCTCATCTATAAAAATATCGGCCTTTTAAATATATAATGTTTTCAGTCACCTTCAAAAAATGGGAGAAAAATCACAAAAATGAAGAATGAAATTTTCAGGAAAAAAACTGAGAAAATGATTATTTGTTTCAATTCTAAAAGTAGGCAAACCGCAAACTTACTTTAAATACTTAAAACATTATTTCAATTCACTTTACTCCCTTTTTTTCTCTATATCTCTATATAAAGCTTCCTTAGCATCTAACCTAGCTTTCCAGTAAATGCTAGTAATAACTGCTTTAGTAGAAACCTAAGTGAAACCCATGCTCACCACTTTCTGTTTTACTCCTTCCTTAGTTCATCATTATTTCCATGAATACAATCATGACAACCACTCCCATGAAGGATGAAACACACATACAAAGGTGTTTGTCTGGATGTCCCCCTAAAGCCTGAGGTCATGAGGGATGGGCTTTTTGGAGGCAGCTTAATCTACAGTTTGCTATTCGTTCATGGTCTAGTGCTGGGATTGGGGTTGAGTGCTACACTTGCCCTAGGGTGGACAGCCTGCATACAATATACGGGTGAAAAAGAGCCTTGCTCCTCTCCTTTTGTTCTTGCTGCTTTTGCTGTCTTCCACTGCCATGAACTGTTGACCCTCTACCATGCCACCACACCTTTGAGCCAACTGATTATGGACTGAAACCTCCACAAACTCAACTAAATAAACCTTTCCTTCCTTAATTTTGGGCATTGGGTACTTTGCCTCAGCAATAAGAGAAGGATAACCAAGACAAAGGGCTACATGGACAATACTTCAAAAACTTGGTGGCTGAACTTATAATGATTTCAAATTAGGAGACTATAAAGTGCAGACTTAGGAAGTGATGGCAAGTACTATTTAAAAATACTTAAGTAGAAGCCATGTAACATACTCTTTTCTCCTAGATATTTTACTTTCTTATAAGTAGCTAAATTTCCAAGCATCTCTATACTTAAATTTATCCACTATATAAACCTAAAGAACTAAATGCGGTGTGTCACAGCTTTTTTGCCCAGTTCTAGTGCTCTATCACTTCATAATCACTTTTGCAGTAGGTCTGAGTTTTAGCAGCATTTTTCAGAGTTGCATTTCTATATAGTTTTCCTACATTTTTATTGTGGTTGAATGCATAATTTTGATTAATTTTTTTCTCCCTAGATTCATCAGGGGTCATTCTTGGAACTTCCAAAATGCTAAATCTTCCTGAAAAAATTTTCCTCCTAATAGGCCTAAAAACAGCAATTTACACTGTGCCACCATCTTGTGGCTATATCAGGGAATTGATAATGTCCTGACAGACTAAAAGAAGTCTTCACCCATTAAAGAATATTTATACTTCTTCATAATACATCAAGGAAACACACACTTCCTTACAAGTTACATTTGTTTCTGAATGCTATATTTCCAGTAATTCACTACTATAGACATGCACTTTTTGCAGTGAGACTTTGTCTCAAAAAAAAGGGAAAGAAAAGAAACTGAATACAGAATAGCTCTTTCTTTATGCTACCCCTAACCCTGAACAAGAAAAGGACACATTTGCTCTGCTTTATGCATAAATTTACAAAAGCAGGGCATCAAATGGGTAGATCTGTCCTAGTCAAGCTTTACTTATAACACAGTAAGTAAATCCATCTAATCAGGGATTTAAAAAACTGAAAAATTCTCTTGACTTCAGTTACAAATCACTCTTCAATATTAATTTATTAACAACAAAAATACTCTGTTGGGTCTCCTCTGTCTTTCTCAGACAAAGTTCAGAACTTGAGCATAGACAATAGAAATTGGTTAACTGATTGAATGACTGATTTCTGAGACAAGGTCTCACTATGTAGACCAGGCTGGCCTCAAACTCACAGCAACCCTCCTGCCTCAACCACTGGAGTGCTGAAATTACAGGAGTGTATCACTATATCCAGCTCAGAATGTTATTTATTTAGTCCTCTCAAAACTTAAATTAGATATAATCTAAATACAAGCTTTAAAAGGCTTTTGTTCAGGGTAGGGGAAAGAAGCAGGAGTTTGCGAAGTAAGACAAGCACTTTACTACTTAGCTATACCTCCTCCAAGCTTTAGAAATTTTTTTATGCTTATACAATTTTTTTATTTTATTGGTACATTTTAGATACACATAATAATCACATTCATCAGAGGGAGTGTGTACCTGTACATGATATATCTTGATTCTATTTTCCCCAATCCCCTTTCTTCCTTTTAACCCTCTTTCCCTCATTTATAAAAGCTTTGTTTCCATTTTCTTTGTTCTATTCTTCTTCTCCCTTCCTTCCTTTCCCCCTCCCCTACCCCTTGTTCCTCTTCCCATTTGAATATTTTCTTCCTATTTCCCAGTGGCTATTACAGGTCCTTATTTACCCTTTCAGTTTCTCACAACACAGAAATAATGTGATATTTAAACATGTGCATCTGAATTATTTTACTGAAGAACATGAACTCTTTTTCTTTTCCCTTCCTTCCTTTCCCTCTCCTCCTCTTTTGTTCCTTTTTTTGAACAATTTTTCCCATCAAATGTTAGAAATTTTTCAAGAGGAAATATAGAAGTACCTAATTTAGGGTAATCAATAAGAATTATAAAGACTCTAAATCTCCAAATAACAAATGTTTTAAAGTTTGTAGCTAATGACTTTTAATTAATAGCAAGAAATAATTTTGGAAAAAAATTCTGAGATATTTTAGATGTTATTTTCCTACTTAAAATTAACTATGTATATGTCAGAAAAGGAATTATATAAATCTCTTACCTTGTCTTTCTTTTCTTTTATTGTACCTATGTTTTCTTTCATCTCTCTTCTGAGTTTTTCCTATTAAAAATAAATATCAAATATATGTAAGATAATCACTACCATCATGAAGTCTTACTATGAAAATTTCCACTAGTAACTATTAATAAAAAAGAAGACTAACTTCTCAATCTTATAAAATAACAAAAAGAAAAGCATTAAATTAGTTTCTTTCTACAAAGGTGTGATTTGGTTTTATTTTTTTCTTTTTATTCTGATATATTTTTGGTGTATAACTATAGAAAAGATGTCTTCTAAAACTCTTAATTTCAACTTTCTTATTTTAAAATGAAGTGGGTGAACAATATCATAGGGGAAAGGATTTGGACAAGTAACTGAACTATGAAGAGTTGCAAAGAAATCCAAAATATATGGGTCTTTACAGGTTAAATCAGCTTTTTCCCTGTGTGCTGAGAAAAGATACATTTCAGTGGGACTATGAAATAAACAAAATTTCAACATGACATAGAGATGAGGGATTGGGGCTGGGGATTTAGCTCAGCGGCAAAAGCGTCTGCCTGGCAAGCGCAAGGTCTTGAGTTTGGTTCCCGGTACTGGAGAAAAACCAAAAAAAAAAAAAAAAAAAGAGATGAGGGATAAAAAAGGGAGAAAATGCTAAATAGCAAAAATAACCACAGGAGTGAAAAGGATATAACAGTAAATAACATATAACTCTACTAAAGAACTGGGCATGTGTATAAAGGTATTCAAGATAAAAATGAAGAGATGTGGTCAGAGTGGGAAATATAATAAATTACGGAATTTATTCAGTAGGAAAAAAGGAATTAAAATGTAGTATGCCTATAATGTGACAGACATCTGTAGAACAAAATTGCTGCAACCCAGGGAGCCATAAAGTTCTCAGAAAAGGGATATTCTTCCCTTTTGTAGAACTTTAGATATAAATCAAACATGTTCTGCCTGCCCATAATGCCTATACTAACTTCTATCCTTGCTGAATGCCTTCCGTACAAAATGGTATCCTCCAACAGTATTACTTTTAACCAGAGAACTCACTTCAGTATGAAAAGAACTGGCAGTAAGCTGATTTAATAGTATATATGGTTGTTTGTACAGGGTCTTGCTATGCAGTTCAGGCTGGCCTTGGACTATGTAATGCAAGCTGGCCTCAAACTACTGGCTATCCTTCTGCCTCAGCCTCCCAATTTTTGGAATCATGTCATGTGTCACCATTCCCATTATATTTACTGTTTTTATTTTGTATTCTACTATCCTCCAATAGTTGATCTTCGGCTATAATGACAACTGAGGACTACTGTGAAAGGCTAAAATGTGGTCTTGTTCAACGAGGTGTATTCACTAAACTAGCAATACTACACTGACTCTAAGAATATCTTGGTTTCCAGAGGACAAAAAGAGAAAGCAGACTTCCAGGAAAATGGCAGAGTGATAAGCAGCGGCAAATTAGCCTCAAGACTGGGAGACCAGACCCTGGAGTATAGCAACGTGGGAAAGAGAAAGGGGGATGTAGATGTCCAAGACTGAGGAAAGTTCTGTAGAGAAAATTAGAGCCCACAAGGAAAACAAGATGAGGAACATCAATGCAGAAGAAGGTGGCAAACTGCACATTCTCCACAATACCCAATTCACAGCATGAGAGAAGTGACTCAAGACTATAAAATGGTGCTGGTAGGGGTCCCTAGAGGCCTCCACAGAGAAAGCCATCGGTGGAGCAGAGCAGAGGATGTGGTGGGCTGCAGTAGCTGTTGAATGACGCCAAACCAAACATGTCTAGGATAGTGTGATTGACAAGACACCATTTTGGGGTGGGGCCAGCTGAACCTAGAACTCAGAGCAGCCCTGGGTTGGATTCATCTTGGGGCTCCCACTGTCAGGGTAAGGTGCAGCACTGGGAGAGGCACAGGGTTGGGGAGCCCAAGTGAGCTGGCAAAAACACCCATAGTGCTGTGGGCTGAACAAACTCGGTCATAGGCCCACAACTAGAGACTGGAATCAGCCTGAGCTTCTGCAGAGCTGAAATGGCACCCCACCATATTCCTACTACAGGTTTGTTGTGACTATACAGCACCCTCACCCTAATCCTACAACTTGTGGGGATCATAAAATACAGAATCGGGTTCTGTCTGCCTCCTTGGCCTACCAGTAACAGAAGAGGCAGACCCTGAAATGGACCTTACCATGAAGTTGTAGACCCCAGAAGATAATGACAGGCTTGAAATGACAGAGAAATCTCTTTTTGTTTAATTGTATATTCCTGTCTTTTCATGGCTGTGGACAGTTTTTAGGGGTTATTTGCTCAGTTCATTTTTGTTTCTTCTGTTTGTTTCCCTCCTACCTCCTTCTCCAGTCTGCAAAAGCTTAAGCAATCTTCTTTTGTTCTTCAACTTTGCTTCTAATCTCTTTCTCTTCTTCTAGTTTTCTGTCTATTCCTTCTTTCTCTTTCAAATTTTTGCCCCAGCAGGTAAAATCACTCAATTGAGGGGATATTTCCTGTATAAAATTTTCTGATTTGTTTCAGATTTTGTCATATAACTATAAATCTTGTTCATATGGTTAAAGGTGGGAAATTAATATGTACCACAGCAGTTTGTCATTTTCTGGGCTGTGCTAGATTTTATAATGCCAATACAACATACCAGAACTGATGGGACACACTAAAATCAGTCCTACAAGGAAAATTTATAGTGGTGAATGTCCACATCAGAAAAACAGAGCTAGCTCAAATAAATAAATGAATGTTGAACCTCAACCTACTAGAAAAAGAGCAAGTTAGACCCAAGGCACATATAAGGGAGGAAATTGTAAAAGTCAGGGCAGAAATTAATGCAACGGAGAATAAGGAAACAATATAAAGAATCAATGAATCAAAGACTTGGTTCCTTGAAAGATTAAATAGACAAATGATTAGGCAACCTTATCACAAAAGGAAAGAAAAGACTCAAATACATGCAATTAGGAAAGAAAAGGGTGAAATCACAACAGATCTTGTAGAAATCCAGACCATCAATACCTACTTCATGCACCTATACTCTAATAAGGTAAAAAACAGAATGAAAATATTCCCAAATATGTATGAATCACCAAAGCTGAATCAAGAATGTATAAAAATTCTAAACATTCCAATATCAGTAAATGAAACTCAAGTAATAAAATAACCTACTAACAAAGAAAAGTCCAGGTCCTGTTGAATTTTCTAAGAAATTTAGAGAAGATCTAATGCCACTACTCCTCAAACACTTTAATAAAACTGAAAGTAAAGCAGTACTCCCAAACTCATTTCTGGAAGCAAACATTATGCAGATGCCAAAACTAGAGAAAAACCCAACAAAAACAGAACTGCAGACCAAGCTCTTTAAAGAACTCATCGGCAAAAATCCTCGGTAAATTGATAAAGAATGCAGCAAATCATCAAAAAATTATACACTATGACCAAATAGGATTCATCCAAGGGATGCAGGAGTGGCTCAACACATGCAAATAATTGAATGTAACACACCACATTAACAGAACCTAGGACAAAAACCATAGGTCATCTCAATAGATGCAGAAAAAGCTTTGACAAAGTGCACAACACATCTATGATTTTTAAAACCCTACAGAAAATTGGAACAGATGGTCATTATCTCAGTATGATAAGGGCCATCTGTGACAAACCAACAGCCAACATTATCTAAATGGTCAGAAACTTAAAACTTTTACTCTAAAGTCAGAAATAAGACAAGGATGTCTACTATCACTACTTCTATTCAATATAGTTCTGGAAATATGAGCCAGAGCAACTGGAAAGCAGAAAGAAAATGAGTAAGGATAGGAAGGGAAGAAGTTAAATTATCATTATTTGCTGATGACCTGATACACTACATTGAAGACCCAAAAACTGTGCCAAAAGACTTCTAGAATAACCAAATTCAGTAGTGTAGCTGGATACAAACTAAACACTTAAAAATCAACAACATTCCTGTACACAAATAACAAACTCACTGAGAGAGAAATTAGGGAAACCATACCTTTCACAATAGCAATCACATTAAGAATCCATCTAACAAAAAATTAAAAAATCTTTACACTGAAAACAACAGTACTCTGAAAAAAGGAGATGGAAGAGGATATCAGAAAAGGGAAAGATATTCCTTGTTCTTGGGTAGGAAGAACTAAATTCTTGAAAGTGGTCATATTTCCAAAATTTTATACAGATTTAATGCAATCCCAATCAAAATACTATTAACATACCTCACAAAACTAGAGAAAACAATCTCTAAATTCATTTGGAACCAGGAGAGACATAGAATAGTAAAAGCAATTCTGGACAACATGGACAAGACAGGGGGCCCCACAATCCCTGATCCCCAGACCAATGGAAGAGTAGAAGATGTAGAAACAACGTCAAACATACCCAACCACCTTATCTTTCACAAAGGGGCCAAATGCCTTTATTGGAAGGAAGAGAGCCTCTTTAATAAATGGTGCTGGGAAAACTGGTGTTCCACATGCCGAAGATATCTCTCACCACGCACGAAACTAAAATTGAAATGGATCAAAGATCCAAATACTAAAACAAAAATACTTAATCTGTTATAAGACAGAAGAGGTAAAACTCTTGAAGATACAGTTGTGGGAAAAGGTTTTATAAACAAAGCCCCAATCTCACAGGAAATATTACAAAGAATCAACAACTGGGATCTTATATTAAAAAACTTTTGCACAGTAAAAGAAACCACCAACAGAGTGAGGAGACAACTCATAGAATAAAACAACTATTTTCCAGCTCTTCCCCAAAGGATTAGTACCTGGAATATGTAATGAACTAAAAAAAAAATATCAGACCCATCAAATTTAAAGACCCGATCCAAAAACTGGCACCTGAAATGAACAGACATTTCTGAGATGAAGAAGTATGAACAAATAAGTATTTTTAAAATTGGTCATGCAAGTGATGCAAACTAAAACAACCACTGAGATTCCATCTCACTCCAGAAAGGCTATTATTACAAAATCAACCAATAACAAATGTTTATGAGGCTGTGGGTAAAAAGCAACCC